AGGCTATGTATATATATACAAGAAAGAATGCAATGACTATATATATATATATATATATTAGGGCTGTCAGTTAAACGCGTTATTAACGGCGTTAACGCAAACCCATTTTAACGGCGTTAATTTTTTTATCGCGCGATTAACGGTCTTTTTGGCCTAGCAAACTTTGTAGGTTTTTTTTCACATGCTTTTGCAACAGGACGGCATGCGGGCCGCTGCGCTATGAAACCCATTCATTTCAATGGCTTGCGGCGCGCGAGGACGTTTTGAAAGCGCAAGCGGATCTAGCTAGACCGGAAACAAAACAACAGGCACGCCGCACACACTTGTTTGGGCTTGCGAGCCGGATGCGCGAGCGCGAATCTCTCTGCGCGCGCGCGCTCTCAGATACACGCTGCTCTTGTAAGAATTTTCTCTGGGCTCACTCAGAGAATATGCCTGCACTTAAAACGTGTTCAGTGCAATCGCGAATCTCTCCTCTTCCCCAGCTAACAATTTTAGGTTATAAGAATGTTTTCATAACGTTCCCATTAAGTTATAAAAAGTTATTTCTGAATGTTATAGGAACGTTCAAAACGTCCAGTTTTGAGTGGATGATGAGCGCGAGACGCAGAAATGGATGCCAATAAGATTCTGAATGGAAAGTTTACTTTTAAAAAGTTGCCAAATGGTTCCATTGACGAGACCAAAGTGATCTGTGTGTTTTGTCGTTGTGAACTGAGCTATCATCATCGCAGCACGTCCAGTCTGAATACCACTTGATGATGACCAGCACACACACACACACACACACACACACACACACACACACACACACACACACACAGCTGATGCGAATTCTCCGCCCCCTCGTCAATATCAGGACCTCGTCAGTATTTATTTCACCCTTTTATTGATGGACAGTGTTATATTGTGTGAGAGATTATTTGCTCCAAGTGATAATGTTCTAGTGTGAAATTGAACAGTATATGCCAAGATTGTTTTCAATAAAAAACATTTGCACAAAGCAAGCCGATCCACTTTTCCATGTTGATAAGAGCATTAAAATGAGAAAAAAATAATGGGACAAAAAGAAATCAAGAGACATTTAGAATAGATAAAAATGTGCGATTAAATGCGATTAATCGCGAGTTAACTATGACATTAATGCGATTAATCGCGATTAAATATTTTAATCGTTTGACAGCACTAATATATATATATATATATATATATATATATTGTCCTTACATTCTTTCTTGTGTGACACCCCTGAATGAAAGGCTCATTATTATGCAGGGTCACTGTCTGAGAACCACTTAATTATTCATGATAGGGGTTGGGCCGTTCCGCCCATCCGCATATTGCCTTGGCAAACAAAAAAATGTTTTTCACAATTTAAAACAATCTATTGTTTTATGTGAATGATTAGGAAGGATGATTTTCAGATCATTTTGAAGCAAAAACTCTAGGCGACAACGTACATTAGTCAAAAGTCTTGTGGACTCATATTTAGTATGTTTTTTGTGTCCTTATTTCAAAAACTTTATTTTTTAGTTTTTTCAATAACCACGCATAAACAATATTCTCTCAAAAATACAAACATGTACATACATGTTGCTCACACATTATGGTAGTCCTGTTTATGCTAAATAGAGTGTAATTTCACCTGTGCCATTAATATGTTTATAAGCAACTGAAAAAAGCACAAATGTCAGAGCATGTCAAAACATCTCAAGGACCCCAAAAACACCTTGGTCCCCAGAGGGTTAAGGGGGTATGGATAAACAGACGTTTCAATATATTGGTAGCCTATTAAATGCATTTTCTGAGAATTTATAGGCCTACTTCAAGTTTTGACTGCAAATGCCACGTCCATAACGCTGGAATTCCCCAATTTTAAATAATCTATCCTCAACTAGTTTTGTTGTGTTGGTCTACGTATTTTATAATGTTAACTTCAAAATTCAAATAATACTAATATAATTTAAAGATGTGGTTAGCATTGGATCTGGACGGGAAGGATAACTCTTGGAAGTTGGAAGGGGTGTGTCGCGATTCTTTAGGTTTGTGGATCTGAGTGTCGTGATTTCGGTTTCATATCGCATATTGTTAGAGCTACATATCTTTCCTCTCTCCGCCTCCATCTCTACCTGCAGACTGAGCTCGGGCGTCATCTTCGTGTGTAGGCCTATGTATTTCATAGAAAATTGTGTCTAGTAGCTACTATATAAATTACAAAGGTTTAATTGACATCTTTATTTCAAACGACCGACCGACCGTGACCCGAATATCATTAAAAATATTTTTGGATGACTCTTAACCGCGGGTGACCGCACATAGTGTGTACATACATACTGTAGGTGTTTATTGTGCACTTCAGTTCATTGAGTGCAAAGCTTCTTAGTTTCCCTCCTTTTAACCATCAGTCACTTTTGAGTACTATAATTAAGGCACTTAAAGGCAAGTACCAGTGTTCCCATTTTACGTGTTCTTTTTGTAGTGAATTATATATAAAGTGAAGTACTGCCATTTACCACTACATTTTTATCTCCATTATGTTTTTAACTTTTTTTTTTAATCTCCACTGTTATTTACTTTTTTATTTAAGATAACCATTTACAGTGTCCCTGTTGATTTGGAAAAAAAAATGTTGCTTTGTGGTTCCAGCTAATAGGGATTTAAAAAAAAATGTTTTAATCAGCCGTGTTGTTTGTTGTTGCATGTGCAACAAAAGCATTGCTGAAAACACTGAGGTAATGCTCTATAGAGGTAGTTACACTACCGTTCAAAAGTTTGGGGTGCTTTTTTATGTTTTGAATTCGATTTGCTCACCAAGGCTGTTTGTTTGATGAAAAATACAGTAAAAACAGTAATATTGTTAACATAATATTTTGATTTATTCTCTCAATTTTCAGCAGCCAATACTCCAGTCTTCAGTGTCACATGATCCTTCAGAAATCTTTCTAGTATGCTGATTTGGTGCTCAAACATTTCTTATTATTATCAATGTTGAAACTCTTGCATTTTTTTTTTTTTTGTGGAAAACATGATCCTTTTTTTTTGCAGGATTCATTGAATAGAAAGTTCAAAAGAACAGCATTTATTTTAAATATAAATCTTATATAGACCTCTTAAAGACATTATAAAGGTTTTACTGTCACTTTTGATAATTTTAATGTGCCCTTGCTAAATAAAATAATTTAAAAAAGCGTTCTGACCCCAAACTTATAAATGGTAGTGTTATTAACATCAATGAGATAAAATGTGAAGAAACTGCAAATAATCCCCCCCCCCCCATTTGTCACCAGTGGTGATTCAGTTTTAAATTGTCACAAATTTTTATTTCATACATTTTTATTAAAGTAGCCTATATGGGTCTTATTATTATTATTATTATTATTATTATTATTATTAGTTTTTCATCTGCAGAACCCTATACTATCTGAAATTACGTGATTGCCTTTTGTGCAGGGCAATGAAGTGAATTTTCTGCTGTTCGATTTCCTAATATGAAATCCACTTATGTGTGTTTGTATGGACACCGACATGTTTGTCAGGACGTGGACATGGTGCAGAATTGCTGTGAAACCAGGCAAGTGACAGTACCTCAGCAGTTGTCTTTCGTCACCGTTATGTGGAACAATTAGAGTTTAAAGCTGCACGCTTTCCTTTGTCACAAATCCAATAGCAATCATCCTCGTCCTTGGTACCCAAATCAGCCCACATTTAGATATTGATTGACTGCTGCTGAGGACCACTCCATGTTTTTGTGTGTGTGTGTTTTTACTATTGATTATCCAGCGATGATAGAGGCATCACCTGCATCTCTCTGAGAGAAGCTGATTTGGAGTGTTCACTTAAGTAAAATGTCTTTCAAAGTTTCTCTCCAGGGCAAAAGCTTTCCCTCTAATTGTTTTCTACATACCTGCTGAAGTGTTGTTCATTATTGTTTGATGTTATTGTTGGTAATGAAAAGCAGTGAGAAATTTAAACAGGGATTTGAGGTCTTATTAGGATGCCTATTGAATGTTTCACTGATAAAGTATGTTAATTGTTCTCTGTGGAATTCTCTAATATGAAGGCAACTGGCATAGTACTGTGTGATTGAACACTCTGTATTGCAGTGTATTGATCTTTTGTACCCGTGTCACCCGCAAATACTCAAGAATGCTCACTCTCTTTCACTCAGTGACATCTACACATTCTGATTACAGATGAGAAGTTGGTATTGATAAATATATTGATGTCACCTTGAGAAGTACTTCTGACTTCGTGTCATCTCCTGTATGCACAAGCAAGGAAAATTGTGCACCATGTGCACATGATAGATAAACTATGTCCATCAAAGAGACAAAATAAGCAGTGTGCCATCGGTTATGGATGGGATTTTGTATGAAGGTTGTGAATCCTGCTTTTAGGGCAGTCAGCCAGTCAGTTGCATGGAGAAATTACAGGGAATGCATCATTAATTAAACTCCACCACTGGAATACTGATGCTCTCGCAATCAATGGCAGCATAATTGCTTGTCATGCATGTTGTGGCAAGAGAAATTTCCTTCCAATCTTTGCAGACATTTGATTAGCCAGGTCCTCCAAACTTTTTTATATGGAACAAATGAATTATTAAACCACCTGTTTCTGCCTGTGCTGGAAAACAGCCAGTGTGCTGTCAATGGCCTCTCTCTCTTTCTCTGCTTTATTCTGCTTTGCACTTTCGCCTCTTGCATTTTGGTAATCTTTTTCCTTCTTATCATCTCAAACACATCAGAATCCCTGCATACTGCCTCACGTGTGTGTGTGTGTGTGTGTGTGTGTCCAGAGGTGCTTTTAGTTTTCCTTCTCTCAATAAATATGTCACTTAACTTTCTCTGAGTCATGTCACTTATGCTGTCAGTCACCACTTTTAGCCCTAAATCAAAGATTTTGACAAAGAAAACTGACAACTTAGATTTGTTTGAAACTATAAAGTTTATGTACAGATATTTACTAATGTATCATATTTTCTTCCCACTTTCTTTCATCTCTTACTCTTCCTGCTACAGCAACTGATGAGAGAAAGGCAGCAGATGGCCAGTCGCCCTTTTGCATCGGTCGCGGTGACACTGGATGTTGGCGGAACTCAAGTAGAACTGCTTCAGGGTGGAATCGAGGTTAGTTTGACCTTTGAACTTGGTATCCACCCAAATAGGTTTTAATCTACATACAAAATTGCAGTGTACAGTTAGTATACATGCAACAAAAATAGCTCAGTATATAAATAATGACATACAATTCAGGTAAATCGTTAATATTACAATGAGTTTTATGCATTTTTATTTAGCCATTTAGTTCCATAAAAACAAATTATTGCATTCCTTTTGCAGTCCCACCAAGACACTAGAAAATATTTAAAAATTGAAGCTACATTATTGTTTTTAAGGTAGATTAATATATGGGAATCAATTGTAGCTTAATATAATTTTGTGTAGAACACTGTGGAAAACATGCTTGTATACTTTTTTTTTACTAGATTTGACAATTTTTTACTTTTTAAAATTACCATATTTTATTTTAATTAAGGCATTATAGAGCAAAATGTAAACACACACACACACACACATATATAGTTAAGGCAAAATAATATAAAAATCTATTTAAAAATAATCCAGACATTTTTTTCAACACTGAGTGTGTGTGTATATATATATATATATATATATATATATATATATATATATATATATATATATATATATATATATATATATTATGTACCTAACCTTTCAAATCAACTTAACGAGGTTTAGAGTCTAAATAATAAGCAGTGCCAGGCAGAAACTGTTTGCAGTTTGACAGCTCTAATTTAAGAGCATCGGGATTCATGGTTGTTACACAACAGACACGCACACAGACCTGTGAGCGCAGATGTACCTGCCGCACAGCAGAGACGTTGAAAACGCACGTCCAGCAGCACTTGATGTGCCTCTCCAGAATCCATTAGTGTAGAGTGGAGTGGTGCTCAGTGAGCATTATGGGCTGTGGGAGGACACGCCACAAATGAAGAGAGCAGAAAACAACATACTCGTCAATCCTCCAGCTGAACGCTGTTCAACATAGATCTTTTTAAACAAACTTCAGCTTCACTCTTATCAGCATATGGCTCTCATTTACAGGGACATCAGCCTTGTGAAAAGAGCCACTTAATTCCAGTAAAATTGCGTCCACAAGCCAGCTGTTGAGAGTAGAAGTTTTTGTGAACAGGATTTGTTTTAATACTCAACATTTTGACTTCTCATTGTACAGTAACCGCATATGCAGTATTTTGTTTTTCTTATAGCATATTGTATGGTAAGAGAGTCTGCAACATGTCGTTCCTTTTTTAAAAGGCTGTTGTTTCTCATCACTTTTTAAGTTCTGTCACCTTTGTAGTAGAAGGAGAGATACCCTTTGATACCGGATTCCTGTTGTTCTCTTCTCAGCCTCTCGATGGCTTAATTTCGACCAGCGCAAATCTCCCAAGCAGTTGCCACTAACAGAGTCTCAAGAGACCCGTTATAAGCAGGCCCTCCACCTTTCAGAGCTGCCTGTTTTAACTTGTTCCCTCAAAGCTTTGATTGCAATAGCATTTCAAGTTTGTATTCAAAATAAGCTAGGGAATATTTTAATGAAACTCAAAACAAATGCTCAGTAGCATTCTCTGCAGTTTTGTCAACAGTGGCGTTCTGAGATGTTCTTCTACATGCCTCTCTACAAATGTGTCTGTTTATTATTTCTAGCTTATTCTACAACTTAGTATGAAATCCTTAAACATATATTTAGGCTTAGTGTTATAGCATATGTGTCCCCTCATGTTGTTCTTCCCCAGCTCTCATCATGTGTTCAGTGATCAACATTGACACTTCTTGGAGTCTATTGAGGCAGATCCAGATGTTGGCCCCACTTTGCTAGGATCTGGCAGCAGCTGAAGGTGAAAGGAGGGAAATGAGAGCAATTCTGTTCAGCAAAGGTTAATGAGACAGCATCTGGTGCTGTTGAATTGTTTAGCATAACCTGCTAATAAAAAAGAGGACAACCCAGACGGTTCAGCACAGTAATGTGTGTCTGTAGCTATGCTTCTGTCTGTAGATATCACAGTTTAGCTTACCCAAAACTAATGTTAATGGTTAATATTTAACCAAAGTCTGTTTGAGCCATCAACTGTGACTTTTTAGTTTTTTTGCATGTATTATTGATAGTAAAAGAGAGGCATGCTAGGAAATGATGAGTGGAAAAAGGGATTAGAACATGGATTTGCAGCCACATCTCCTGTTTGAGTGCCACAGCTCAGTACTGTATGTCTGAAGCACATGTACTGTATGTCTTAAACCTTTTCGCTTCAAATCTGTATAAACGTTAACATTTTTTGACCATACAATGAAAGTCAGTGGGGTCCAATATTGTTTTAGACCTCTTTGACTTTCTTTTTTTTAGATAGTTTTTGTGCAATATTATTAATAGCACAGTTGAAGAAATGTTTGGAAATAATGGGTAGACAGAAAAAAAAAAAAAAGGAATTTACCGTAAAAAAAACTAGCTGCGGCAGCTGTTAGAACTTTACCATAAAAAATATGGTAGCAACATGCTAATTCGGAAGCATTTAACTTACATTTACAGTAAAAAAAAAAAAAAAAAAACGTTTTTTTTATCAACTGGTGTAATGTTAATATATCAACCTACTGAAGTACTAAAATCTGTTTGGTACCTTTATAATACACTGACAACCAACAAAACCAGGTCTTTTTTGAGAAAGCCACATGTAGAATCAAAGCTCAACACAAGTAGCTTTTCCACAAGCTGAGGTAAAAACTAATATATAGACGGTGTACACAGTGTTATGCATACAAATACAGAACACCATGGTAACACGTACGACACTAAAATAATGCAATAAACATCAATTTAACAGTATAAGATACAACAATGTACAAAACTGAAGAAAAACAACTAAAAAGAAAGTTATTTCAGTTAAAAACCATCAATTGTAAAGTGTCTCAAAAGGAATTCTTGGAATGTAAATTTACATGTTTTTTTTTTTTTTACTGTAAATTTTAAGATGACTTGTTCTTTTTCACTTCCAAAAACTAAATTTAACTGTATTTTTACAGTAAAATTACATTAAATGGCCCATTTAAATTTATTACAGTTTTTCCTCCGTATTACAGTTATCCAATTAACAGATTTTCACCGTAGCATTTTTAGTTAAACTAATCCGTTTTTTACAGTGCAAGCTGGGAATGGGATGGCATGTTCATTGTTCCACATGAAATTTGATATGATGACAGGAAATGCTGCTTTCTGTAATCTCTACAGGGTCAGTTTGCGTCTGCCACAGGTCGTGTTAAGACTGCTCTGTCTGTGCGTTAGGCTGGGATGGTCTGTGTTGGGCTCAACTGGACTGGAGAAAAAATTGTCGTGCGTCGAGGTCAGCAGAAGTGCATTATGAAGCCAATGTGAGGCCAGCCCTTTTAAAACGGTGCAGATGACACAGATGCTGCTCCGCCACCATGGCCAGCTCACAACATATGGGCCCGTTAACAGTTGCAGAGTATGATGGATGGAGGCTGTCACCAGGCAACAAAGAGAGGGCCATTTCAATTATACTGTGTATGTAGCCGTTCTTGTGTTTGAGAGTGCTCAATAGTGAGCTCTTATCTACAGACCAGCGCTCATGCTCCCTGTCACTGCAAATGCTCCGATTAGCCATGCAAATGAGATGCTTCGCCGTCTGTTAAAAGCAGGAGAAACGTATAGATGAAGAGGATTGTTGTCTTGCTTTATGACCTGGTTTGCAATGCATTTCCATTTCCATTCTCTGCTGTTTAATACTCACAGCAGCAGTAGCAGTTTATCAGCTTCATCTTCAGCAGCAGCAATATTATGAGACATATTTTTAAATGCATATAGAGATGAACACAACAGAGGAAATTAGAGATGGGTGGAATAAAGATACCAAAATAATGAAACGAGGTATCGAATGTGGTCATAAACAATACCAGATATTCACCAGTTGGTCACATTAAGAAGATACAAGGTGGAAAAACAGTGAATGAAATATGTACAGGATAAAGCAAGTAAACAGAAACTTTTGGACATGTCGGCGAGACCTGAAGACAAGGCCCATAAAGTGTCTCAGTGTCTAATTAGAATGTGGCTCAGTGGTGCTGAGCTATTTTCATCAGGTTAGTCAATGCATGCGAGTAGGATGGAGTTGGCCCTCAATTAGTTGTAAATCAGCAGGGCTGTATGACATCTGTTTGCTGGCTAGTTCATGTCTTTCATGTATATTAAGTTTTCTGGATTTATCCTTCACATGATCCTTCAGAAAACATTATAATATGCTGATTTGGTGCTCAAGCATTTTTTATTATTATCAATGTTGAAAACAGTTGTGCTGCTCAATATGTTAGTGGAAACTGTGAAGCATTATTTTCAGGATTCTTTGATGAATAGAAAGTTCAGAAGAACAGCATGTATTTAAAATGGAACTCTCTTGATCAAACCAACATTGGAAATTTATCAACATTGGAACTCAACACGTCTTTGCTGAATAAAATTATAAAAATTTCAGATTGACCTGAAACTTTATATTTATAATACTATGGTTTTACATACACTATAGTATAGTGACTAGAAAGGTAAATCCAATCACTGTTAAAAGTAAAAGCACAGCACTTCCCAAAAAGCCCCAGCATTTAACATTCATGTCTGTAGTGCAAACTGTGTGAGTTAAGGATTTATGAAAACCTCTTACATGACCTACTCCAGTGCATCTTTGCAGCATGTATGCTATATGTAATCTGCTGTAATCTCGGTTTAAAAAAAAAAAAAAAAACCTTTGCTTAGCTTGCTAGTAGGGCTCTTAACTGTATTGTCATTCATTACCTGTGTTATGTCAATGCTCCCTAAATGGCCTGCAATTGGATTACTCTAATCTGTATGGTGCAAGACTAATGTGAATGAGACGAATATCACTGAATCCAAAACCATAAAGAATGAGAGTAAGCATATGAAAATGGATTCGTCTGATCATTTGGAGTTGTTGGGAGGAATGAAGATCTTGTTAGCTGGTTTATACATTGAATACACAGTCCCCACAAACTCATAAGAGATTAATGAGAATCTTTTAGGGTCATTTTGTGATATCCTTAAAACATTAATCGTATAAAAAACTGTTTTATAGATAGAAATCGTACTTTTTTTTAATACAATTTTATACACAAAAGACTGCAATTATATTTTATTCTAAACTAAAATCATGTTTTATTTTTATTTTTTAATTTCCTGTGAGGAATTTTCATTCAAATATATTAACTATTTCTTTCCCCGCTATCATTATTATTTTTCATGAAATTTTCAGTCAGCACCAGCATTTTTGATCATTTTCAAAAAATAAATGATGATCCCTAGAATATTTTGTTGTATGAATACCTGAACATGCAATATATCAAATGAAAGAACAGAGCTTCTACTTTAAAAGCTAAGAAAATCATGTTTTTGTCAAAGATTGTCTGGATTGGATTCAGAATGATGATCAAAACATAGATTGAGAGTAGATCGCTTCCATCAACACCCCCAAAGCTTCACAGTCCTATCTATACCTCTCCCTGCGTTGACATTTTATTGGTAACGTTAGGCAGTTTTGATTTACATGCTGTATATTGTTTGATGATCACGTTATTTTACATGTGCAGCAATGCTTCAATCGTTCTTTTGTTTCTTCTATTGTTTCTGCTGTAGAGATTCTGTACTCTTTCAGAAGATGTGTAATAACAATCAACTCCATAGCTTTCTAGGTTGTGAACCAGTAAATAGTGCACATGAATGTTAACTAGATGAGTTGGCTCATGTGGTTAATGTTTCGCTCTTCAGAACGTCCGTTAGGGGAACATAGTGAGCTTCGAGGCTCCCTGGTTTTCACGATGCATTGTGGGACTTTTTAGGGAGCAAACATTTCAATGCACTGAAAGGATTTTGCGATTTTAGACAGCCTTGAGCAGTGCCCTGACTACTAAACTAGGGAGCTGATTGAGACACACCCATGGATTTCCGGAAAATTCTGTCAATGGCTGGGAAGCGTTGTGTCATAAATAATTGAAAATTATGTCTATGGCGGGGAAAGGGTTAAAAGACCCAGAGGAAAAAAAAACCATTAAAATTAGTCACGTGTTACAAAGCTTTCTAACTTAAATGACAGAGAAAAGCATAATTTTCAAAGTACTTTGATGTGTAAGGAAGTAGTCACCCCTTTGAGCAAGAGTCTATTGTAATGTATGTTTGGGTGTGAAATTAAAATGGATCTTTATATAATGCATAACTACCAAGCTCAGTGGCCAGAAATGGATACTTAAGTCTGGGGATGAAAATGGAGATGTGTAATTAAGTGTGATATTTAGCATAAATCACTTGATTGGTGTGTTTTGCCTGAAATAATTAGGTTTGCTGTGTCATTCAAAAGCAAGAGGATGCATTTGTGTATGATGGGCAGATTTAAGAGTCTTGAGGCCGCTGTCAAACCATTAGCAGTTACTGTTTGTGCTGTCTGTCACATGATAAATAGGGTGCACTGTGGGGGATTAGAGACTAGACCCTGATAGTCTGGCTAGCAGAACAAATACTTGTATTGACATCCATTCTTTATGGTTTCTCTTTACTCCATGGTGTGAACTCAGCCTTGTCCTTAAGATACAAGTAGGTCTTTAGCAAGGGAAGGATATCTTTACAGACTGATTTTGATGAAGAAATAGCATGCAGTGTAAGGGAGAGAGAGAAAATCAAGAGGAAAAACAGTGATATTCTGCACACGGAGGAATGAGGGAGCTAGAAGGGAAGCTAGACACCCCTTGCCACCCCCTGTCACTCAGAAACAATGGCTTTGAACTTTTTAAGTGCAGCACAAGTGGCCTCTTTTCCTCTCAAAGAGACAGATATTGCTCTGATAACAGCCCCTGTCTGCCGGGCTTGATGGACATCACTTTCAGCGCAGGCTTAATTTGACCTTTCACAAGCCCCTCCATGCCTGTGCCATCACGTTCCATGAGTCCTCTCACAAAATGAGAGAGTGATGGGCTTGGGAATTCTTTCATTTTAGAACTGAACGCATTGTCTATGATTTTATTAAAAGGGACATTTTGCACTTCATTCTTATTTGTTTTTTATAATAAATATTTAATACATTTCAGAAAATTACTATGTGGCTACTATGAGACACTTGTTACACAGTGCAGTGAGCTAGATCTGCATTATGTATGGTCAAACATGGCACTCGCTGTAAATCAAGAAAACGAGATTTAAACAATAAGACTAACTGTGTTGAGCTGTATAACAGTTTTCTGTCGATGAATGTATCCAAACAGTTGCTCACCTGTCTCATAAAACATAATATATTAAAGCGTTGGTGTTTCCATGGTTTCTACAAAATAAAACCGGAAATCAAGGGTAACACGGGTATGATGTCATTGATGGGTGACGCACGGACACGATGCGTGTCCTGGTTAAAATTGCTTATTTCTCTGGATTTAAACATTCTTGGAAACATTTGGAATAATGTAAGAACACAAGTCAAAAAAATATATAACATTGGTCTAGTTTTAATCCAAAAATCTTTCATATCGTGCCTTTAAACTGGAAAATAGGTAGAAATGGATGGTCTGTTTGGTTGTGTGATATGAAGCAATAGGACACAAAAAACAAACATTTTAATGATCTGCAGATCAATCCAAAGCCACATAGAGCTAATTTAAATGTCTGCTGTATGCTTCAATAATTGTCATAATTTTATTGAGGCGGGAAAGAGCCAGGTTTGTATTAAACATTCTTGCTTTAGAGAAAGGTACCTTAGGGTAACTTTGTTGGTTTGACGTCTGGCGTTTAATTCCGATTATAGGCTCCATGAGGACCGTTCTTGGCAGAAAATATTAGTTGGCATCTGTTCCCTTTTTGTGCCTTTTCAGTTGTTTTTTTTACACACATTTTGGCAACTGGGGTAAGATATTAAAGCGTCATTTTGTGGAGAGCCATTGGTTGCCAAAGTCTGTGATCTTGCAGCACGCTCTTGGAAGAGCTCTTGAAGAGGCACTCTCTTTAAATGGTGAATAAAGCCACTCTAAAGCTGAGTCAGTTTGTGTTGGAGGGCCAGAGATGAGAGTGTATTAATGAGCTAAGGGAATCTTAAAAGACAATACCCCATACACAAAACATTTTTATTCAATGACAGAGACGTTTATGACTCCCTTTGTCATTAAAACGCATAAAACAATCAACAAGTCCTTTTAGAAAAGCATTCATATGCATGTGAGTGGACCAATCCTCTGCATTTTAGCTGAATAATCTGTAATGTGAGATAAAAGATGACATTTTAAAATCACTGTGATTGCCCGTGGCTTTTTTCCTCCTCATTTCACTATGCTGCATCAGAGACCCGCTGATGCATACTTCTATCCAGAGTAGCATTTATAGGAACAGAGAGCGGGTGCTACAACACGACCCGAGTTGGTAGTCGACAACCTCAAATGTCACATTTTCTCTGCGTGTGCGTACATGATGTGAACTTTGAAAGTGGCTTGCTTTGAGTCTTTGAGTTTCAGGGTAGGTGATTTGTTACTGAGATGATCACGATGTGAATTTTCGACGTGCGAGAGACATCCTACAATGTCATCTCACATAGAGTACTGTGACATTTGTGACTAATGGTGATGTGTTGAGGAGGCGGCTTGTTATAGATGACACATTTCCTCTCCTCTGATCTCTCCACAGGGACCGCCCAAGCCAGTGGCCGTGGAACCCTGTTCTGGGGGTAAAGCAGCAGTGCTCACAGTGCTTTTGTGTCTCCCACGAGGAGCTTCTGGTGTACCTCCACCCGGCCAGTCAGGTCAGTATTTTAGAAACGTGTCTTAAAACGTGTCCCCACTTTACCTGTACTTGTTTTACATGTAGCCTTCCTGAAGCTCACACTGCAGAGCATGGTGCTAGCAACCCTAAGGTTAATGGGTTTGATTTTTTTGAGAATGCATTCATTTATCAACTGTATAAGCTTTAATTCAATGTAATTCACCATTTTGTGAATGCTACAGATGAATTTAAGCATTACAATATTATAATGTACAGTATGAAAATAGGATATTTTGAGATTTGCTAAAGATTACATTTAACAGCGGTATTACATTATTAGTGTTTTAGAAGATTGATCTTTTAAGTAAGATCTTTTAAGTAAGTAAAACAGCCAATATAGTCTAAATGTAAAAATTAAGGAAATTAACATGCTCAAATATCCAATGTCTATATTGATATATAAAAACAAAAATCTAATATCTGCAGAAAACGGATATCATACGCATGCATTGTGCATCCCTAATGTTCATGCATGTTCTTTGGCACTTGTGTTATCCTCCTGGTAATTTTAGCCCTAGCATTACATTTGACTGAAATTTAAAACCCTGACATGGTACAGGCAGCTTCTCAGTTAATGTGTTACACCGAATTATCATGCCCACTGCGCGCTTATGTTGCAGTCTGGTTCATTCCCCACGTGAGAATTCATTTCATGCAGGAAGTCAGAGAACGTTCTCCAGTGTTCCCCTGATGGTCTGATGTAAGTTTGTCTGTGACTGCCGGTCATATCCTCTTACACCACTATGGCTAACCCCAGTCTGAATGTCTCCTGTCTATAGCCTGAATAAAATAGATCTACCAGTCTGTTACAGCTTATTGGACCAAGAAAATCTGAGTAGACATTGTACCTCTCAGTGTCCTTGACTTTGAGACAAAGGATTGTCATGTTCCCGTGAACACCTCTACAAATGTAAAACAAAAAATAATCAATTATACAATAATGATGGTGTCCAGTTTCAGTTTTTTCTCCCCCTTGTTTGTCATTCACCTTCAACTGGCAGCACCTTTTCTGAGTGCTCGTTCTGACGTATAACACGCGCACATATTTAGACGGCAGTGCTTTAAAAGCCACGTCAGCTTGAGGTCTGTCTCATAGACCCCTGTCTGGCTTTAAGAGCTACAGAGTGAGAAGTTTGGGTTGAGAAAAAAAACCTTTTACCCCTTCCCCTTCTCAGCAGGCCTGTCAGTCAACATGCTGTTTTATGGGACCTTGTCCCTTTAAGCTTGACTTTCTCCCCAGGAACTTGACTGATCTGAAAAAAAAACAAAACAAAAAAAACGTTTGTTTCAGTAAAGCTTCTCTAATAGCTCATCTTTTGTTTGACAAGCACAAAACAGGGGCAACAAATAACAGCACATAAAAACAACAACTGATATGCACAAAAAGAGTATTTTTGGTGATATCTGAAGAAAGTTGAATCTGTCGTGTAATTTCATGGCACTGAAAACTTTAGAGTGGCTGCTTGCTGGGCTGTTGAAGTTTGTCATGAACACTTTTGGAAAGAGGTACATCAGATAGAGGGAAATGAAAGGAGAGAGAGACTGAAGGGGAAAAAATGGTGAGACTGTTCTGAATCAACAAAGATTATTTTTGGAGAGAAGCACAGGAGCTTTGCGCACAGATGTCTCTTTGTCGTCAAAGAGCTTTGTTTTAGTTCGTCTTTTTGGAAGTTCCAAAACAGGGTGGATGTGTAGGTGTTTGTCTGCTAGGATAAAGCGGTGCATCACCTTCACAGAGCAGACCAATCGGTGTTTGACTGATGTAGGAGTTTGGAGCAGAGAAGGCTGCTTTTGTCAGCTGTCACCCTGCTCTGTCTGCATGTCTACCTGGTGTGATGTGAGTATGATCCTGAAAACATGGTGCCTTTTTTCTCTAAAACAGCCTCCCACTCAACCCAGCGCTTGGACATGATAATGAACTCCGCAAGCAGGTTTTAACCATATTGATTATATTCACAGATACTATGAGATTTCCTTGGGGCTGAAGGTCTTATTCATTTCACTCCTGGCTAACAAAATCAACTGAATTTTTGTTCATTATATACATGTGTGATCAAATAAGACGTCATTTTCTTTCAGTGGGAAAACATACATGTCCAGCCTTGTATAATATGGAATATTTCTTTCTATGTGATGTAATGACAAAATGTGGAGATAAGTGCTGGTAGTATTTTATTTTATTTCATTGCATTTTCAAACCTGGCTGGGCCAAGTTTAAGATTACCCAGTAAGCATTGCTGATGATTAAATGTGGCCGGTCATTACTTAATATTCTTAAAGATATATGTACATGTTTTTTTTTGTTTTGTGTTGTGTCAAGTTTCAGATTGCCCATTGTTGATGAGTGAGTGTGATCATTTTTTAATGTTTGGTTTTTTAACATCTGAAGTACAACCATTTCTGAACAAGCCAATTTTTCAGCTCAGCTTCAGCACAGTTAAATGCTTTATTTTTCAGTGTAGAGGATATTTTTGAGTTATGAAAGTTAGCTAACTTTTATCCCAAAATCCTCATGATCTGACCCAGTTTAAAAATAAAATCTAGCTGCATTTATTGTCAAACAATGCTGACCCACCATTACTGGCTCATATCCAGTCCTTTTTTACCTGAATGGTAAGTAGCAAGTTCATGCATATCCAGCTACTGTAGTAGGCGTACACTGCGCTCTTCAATCCCAGGGACTGTTCTGTTGACAGACATGTAGTTTTCACATTCCTCCCTGCAGGCCAGGTGTTATGGGTAATAAATCGATGTAGGGCAGTGTGTAACTGTCTGAGGCTCAGGTTGTTCTTGGATGTAAATCGTCTTCGCCTGAACGCTTGAAGCTCCAGCTTTTCACCAATGTGCTGAATTCAATTCCTTTTGCCCTGGCCTGTCTGAAGTAATGAATTGTTCCCCTCCGATAATTGTATTGCTTCAATAGCAGGGAGGGAGCAGTGCCAGACTAGCACAGAAGTGGCCGTTGTGTTTGTAGGATGATTTGTGAGCTGCTGCTTTGAAAAATGGCTTTGGGGTTGCAGCCATGGTTTTGACCACAGCAGTCCGTGACGGAATCTTGGCACAAAACGTAGGGAGCTGGGAGTCGGGTTCACTTCAAACCCCCATCCTAGAATGAGAGAAAAGTGGTCACAGAATATGAGAAACGGATGCTTCTGGAAACCGATGACCTTGACATTGAACAAGGAGCGGCTTCTGAGTCTTCCGAGGCATGAGTGGAAATTTTTCTTTATGCATGAACAGTCAGGAATCCGTCTATAAAAATGAACGAGCTGATATTTGTTCTTTTGAAAGAGATAGCTTCAAGTTACCATTGTCCCTTTTTTAAATAACTTTGCTTTGACATGTAAATGAACCTTTTTTGCTTTTGAAACCTCTCGGTGAGCATGTGCTTCTCCTCTCTGACCCTCGGCTTGCTTTGTTGTGTGTTGTCTGCAGGTATAGCCATCGCCAGCGCTCTTATCGACACGTCCCAGCAGAAGCCCATGGACTTCAAAGAGAAAAGCCAAGGCTTCAAGAACCGCAAAGCTCTGGCTCCCACTCACCAGGGCACCTGTGTTTGAATCGTCTGCGGCCTCGGTGGGCTGTCCTTTACCAGAGCGACCTCCTCTCTTGTGCTGCTTCAGGCAGACGGCGGCCTAGAGCGGCCCCATGTGAGGGGATTATTTAGGTGACAGAGCGCCCTCAATTTCCACTCCACAGACACTTCATCTCTCCTCGTCAATTGAACATCGTAAATAGATCTCGATCCGTTTTGAATGACCTTGCCATCACCACCTGCTCCAACTCAAGCATCACTTTACCAGTTCGACTCCATCCGAATCCAATCAACAGGTGGCTTCTTGATTCACCCAACTCTGGGTGCCATTGAGCCCTTTCCCTTACAGTCATTTCGGTCTTCTCAAGGCCTTCTGAATGTTGAGGGCCTCTCCAATAGTCTCCCATCTGCTTCACACCAAGCACAGATGTGCCTCTAGCATGGTTTGTACATTTGGACCAGAGTGTCTTGCTAAGTCAGAAGCAGCGTTCTAGTAGTCTAGGGACGGTCGCCGAATTCGTGTACGGGTTTCGTGTAACAGCTCACCTATTTGTATGCTCGCAAACTAGACTTACGTTTTTGCTCAATTTTTTGCTATTTTGAATTTTTATTTTAAGAGATGGACTATAGAAATGTTTGCCATAGCGTGGAAGCTATCTGTTGTGTAAGCTAATGACGTTCTGCTGCTGGTAGCCTCATGCTTGGTAAACTCATGTTAGGAATGGATCAAATCCGTCTTTAGATAGATACATAGGTTTCACACATTTCATACTTATGCTCTTCTTGTGAAGACTTTGCATGGACCATTCACACTATGCTTGAAAACTTTAAACAGTTTGTGGGTTGTGTCACATGAAGCACGTCTTCATGTCTTGAAATATTGCTGACCGTTAGCTGCAGTGTAACGCTCCATAATATAGAGGAGCCAGCTGGTTTGGGAGAAACCAAGTGTCATTTGTAAATCGCAGAGAGAAGTCGGTCTTTAGGTGAGGGATGAAATCGTGCCTCGCTGACCTGACAAACCGGGAGAATTTACGCCAGAAGGCCGCATTGCAACGGGTGTATAGTATTGTTAAGGAAATGCTAGGGAACCCTAGAAAAGCCGATCTTATCTTTATTTTTATTGTCGTTTTGCAACGGTACAGGTTTAAATGAGCAGTGACTCATTACTTTGCAGTAACGCTTCATCTCTTTATAATGAACTTTTGTATACTTAAGTTTCACATATTGTGAATGTCAACCGAGGGAGAAAATTTTGAGGAGACCAGCACGTGAGAGTGGATTTAGACTGTTCATACACTCAAGTACTGTGTCCTCAAACAATGGGCTTTCTCAAAACAGGTTTCTATTCACCACACAACTGGATCTTCTGAATCTGATTAACCCACCACTAGGACTGAGTCTGAGCCCTCCGTGGGTAAAACAGGAAATCTGGGAGATGTGTTTTCCTCTCTGTGGCAACAGCAAAAAGTGTACAGCAACCTACTCATCACTTGTTTGCTTTAGATGGACTTGAATATGTGAATCTAATGTGAATTGCTCTTTTTCTCTTCATGTAGCTACAGTACTTCAATGTTTTTGTTTGTATTTTTTGCCGGTTTTAATAAAGGATATTAAAGGTCAATAGGTATTTTAGGGCCACCCGCTGTACATGACGGTGATGAGAAATAATCATGTCTTTTACAATGTTTGTGGAAAAAAAGAAATGTTGACTTGTTTTTGTAACTAATTGATTCCTGTGTAATACCTCTGTGATTTGATTCTTTGGTCACACATGTAACTAACTCGATTCATATTAGTGTCTGTTTTTAGGGCTAGATTTAAACTGAAGCTGCTCATTTAGATTATTCTGGGCATTTTTGAACTTTTCAGGTCATGATGTGTTTAGGAATTTAGTTTCAGAGCTATTTTTTATCTTGAAGTGAGTAAGAGATTGCCACGCAGGAATTCTACAGACTGATTACACAGGAATCATCTCACTGTAACTGAGAAAAAAACAGATTCATTCATCCCTCAGTGCATATCATTAATCCTCATTGTATTTTAAAGATGAATGGAAAAATAAAACACTTGAATATTCAGAAGTCCATGAATCATTCCAGCGCCTATGAATATGAAAAGCTCATTTCACAGCTTTCACAAAATCAATCATTTGGTGGCTCTCGCAAGGGCTCATTGCTGTTAGCAAGTACTCCAATGTTAATGTGCCTGTCGGCACAAAATATGTACAAAAAATGGATACATTTATTACTGCATGTCCTTCAGGTGTATAACTAGTTAGTCTACTGTATCGATTGGCTTAATCAGTAAAATAAATGATAATGTGTATATATATTATGTCCTCCCAAACACTTGAATTAAGTATTCTCCTTTCTGATCACCAAGGCATCACCATGACAATGTAATGTATTGAAGAACCATTTTATTTGCATTTCAGAGAAGCCCCTATTACTATCAGAACTGCTGAGGCAAGAAAACATGCCTATGAATGGTTTACCTATCCTGAAACATAGCCACCTGTTTTTCAGAGACTGATCTGATTTGAGCCTGTTATCCCTGACCTGAAAGCTAATATCTCTGTTCTGTAATATGGTTATAGTGGCCCATTATTTTACCACAGTCAAGGGGTGTTAGGCAACGATGTGGAGTGGATTGCCTAAAAGCAAATTTTTTGAGTGCTTTTGCTTTTATATAGTGGCAGTAGCAGTAATATGTCAAAGACAGCAATGTTCAATTGGTACAATTCATCCACCAAGTAGTTTATTAAACTAACTGTACGTTATTTGTTATTGCCGAGCAACTTAATGATCAAAGAGAGATCGATCATATGAAAATAAAATAAAATTACAGCTTTGCTAAGATCAACGATGTAGTAGCAACAATGTTCTGTTATTTTAGGGACTATTTACTTTAGAATTGTATTAATAAATGCTTATTAATATAACATTTTGATTAAAAATCATTTTAAAATCGAGATGTTAACTGTTTTATAAAATCAATATTGCAATACTTGTATACTGTATATTCACAATATAGCACCAGTGTTTTTAAAGTTAACTAAAACAAACTAAATAAAATATAAATTTTACATGAAAAATGTATGAAACTTACTAAAATTAGAAGTAAATATTAGCATAATGTGATGAGGTTGGAAGGAAGAAGACAGGGTCGGCGTGACTGGGACTCGTACGTTTTTATTAGGATAACTTCAAAATAACTACAAACAAAAGTCGCGCCCACAGCGCATTCACCGTAGACTTGTTACAGCACAGACAGTAGTTCACAAAACAGGCTCTGTCCCTCTTTCCAGCAGGTTATCTCACGATACTCTTTCCCCAGCGATCTTGTACGAGTCCTCAGTCCTTCTCTCTCTCCCGTTCTCTTTCCAGAGCGGCTTATATCCAGTCTCTTCACGTCAATTACTGCAACAAGACACAGGTGTTCGTCATTTGCACTTGACCTACTTACGCACCGCTCGTCTCCTTTGTCTCCCGCCCGCTACAGACTTCGCTGAACCACGCCCCCTTGCCACATACCCCCATCCCAGCAGAGCCATCCGGCCTGCAGGACCCCCCGCCCCCTATTTCTGGAGAGAAAGTCAGCTAGAGCTATCTGCACCCCTGACCTGTGGACCACCTTGAATTTAAAGGGCTGTAGTGCCACGGGAATTCACCCTCTGTTCGGACCACGCACCCCTGCAGTGGCTCCACTGCATGAAGGATACCAACGCGAGGATCATCCGTTGGTATCCTTCATGCGGTGGAGCCACTGCAGGGGTGCGTGGTCCGAACAGAGGGTGAATTCCCGTCCCAGGAGATAATGGCGGAGGGTGAGAACGGCCCATCTAATTGCCAGACACTGTTTGTGGGTGATAAACGCTGGTGCGAATAGATTTAATGCCCAATAATTTGTAAATTTCACGAATAGTCCGTGACATAAACGCCGTGCCTTGATCGGTGAGAATCTCTTTCGGGATTCCCACCCGGGAGATTAACTGAAACAGCGCGCCCACCACGCTTTTTGCAGAAATATTGCGTAGTGGCACTGCCTCTGGGTATCGCGTTGCATAGTCCACTAGGATTAATGCAAAGCGATGCCTCTGTGCAGATCGTTCTAATGGCCCGATGAAGTCCATGCCAATTCGTTCGAAGGGGACCTGCATAAGAGGAAGTGGGCACAATGGTGCTTTTGGATTGGCCGGTGGATTCACCAACTGTTCAAAGGCATTTTTGAGCGTTTCGTCCTGGGACTGTTCCCGGGGAAAATCATCGCGCTCTGTAAGGATTCTCCTTTCAAGAGCGTTCCGTTCCCCTGGCTCATCTCCCATTGGTCCCGGCTCAGCTTCTCCTAGCTGAGCGACCGCCCCCCTTCCCCGCTCCCCCTTCTTCAGAGAGACATCCGCACATAAATACCCCAATAATACACTAAAATCTGGCCAATTTGTTCCTAAAATTAGCAGATGTCAGAGGTGCGGGCTAACTGCAACCTCTATATTATGCTTTTGACCCTGAAATTGAATAGCCACCGACATTAAGGGGTAGTTCACCACCTCCCAGTGCACACACCGTACTTTAACCATGCGGCTCTTATCTAATGCCTCTGGTTGAATCAGGCTTTGATGAATGGAGGTTTGGAATACATCCTGAATCCACCAAAGCCTGATACATACCCCCCTTAATACTCACAGGTATCTGGTACAGGCCAGCTTGATCCGAGGCGGCTTGCTGAGCGTCCGGAACCCGGATCAGTGTCCCCACCTCCGTCACTGGGCACCGATCGATAAAATGACCCGTGTCCCCGCAACGCCAACAGGCCGGCCCAGGCCTCCCCGCCGCCCTAGTGGCGGGAAGCGGGTCAAGGAATTGGTGTGGAGAGAGCGGAGGAACGGGAATTGCGGCGGTGCTGCTGGTTGTCAGCTCCTCCTCCCTGGGCGGCACTCTGGGACCTGCTGTCGGCCTTGCCGCTGGCCCACTCCTCCATCGGGGTGCCGGTCGGGGCGTGAAACCCCCTCGAGACCTAGGGAGTGGGACAGGTTTAGAGGGGGAAGGAGTGGGGGGGAAACACATGGGAAGAGAGAGAGAGAGAGAAGCTGCTGGTAGGGGTTCACCGACCCCGGGGCACGCCACCATCTGGTCCTCCGCCAGTTGGATGGCCTGGTTCAGCGACGTCGGGCGGTGGCACTGGACCCACTGCACGGTCTTTCTCGGAAGCCGTGCCACGAACTGCTCCAGCACCACCTTATCGATGACACCCTCGACGTTGCTTCCCTCAGCCATCAGCCATCTGCGGCAGGAGTCCCGGAGCTGTTGCGCCATCACGAAGGGTCGGGCGGTTTCTCCGAGGTCCAGCGATCTGAACCTCTGCCGATGTTGTTCTGGACTCCGGCCGACCCGCTGCAGGATGGCGCGTTTCAGGTCTTCATAGACCAGGAGATTCTGGACTGGCAGTTGTTGTACGGCCACCTGCGCCTCTCCGGAGAGCAGAGGTATGAGCCACACTGGCCAGTCCGCGGGTGCCCACCCACAGGCCTCAGCGGACCTCTCAAATAAATCCACAAAAGCCTCTGGATCATCCTGTGGTCCCATTTTATTTAGAGGCACGTGAGTGGGCGGGGCTGGGGCAGATGAAGTTTGCCTGGCCCGAACCCCCCGGTCTATCCAGCTCCGGAACAGCTCACGGTCTTCCTGCTGGGCTTGGACGAGGGCTTGGAACCGACGCTCCTGGTCGTTCCTCATGCCCAGCAGGGCTTGGTGTTCCTGATGCAGACTCGCAAGCGATTGGATGACGTCCGCAAATGGCGATCCCGATGGAGACTTCATGATGGCGGCGGCGTTCTTCTTCCTTCCCTGGTTTCGGCACCAGTGTGATGAGGTTCAAGGTTGGAAGGAAGAAGGCAGAGTCGGCGTGACTGGGACTCGTACGTATTTATTTGGATAACTTCAAAATAACTACAAACAAAAGTCGCGCCCACAGCGCATTCACCGTAGACTCGCTACAGGACAGACAGTAGTTCACAAAACAGGCTCTGTCCCTCTTTCCAGCAGGTTATCTCATGATTCTCTTTCCCCAGCGATCTTGTACGAGTCCTCAGTCCTTCTCTTATATCCGGTCTCTCCACGCCAATTACTGCAACATGACACAGGTGTTCGTCATTTGCACTTGACCTACTTACCGCTCGTCTCCTTTCTCTCTCTCCCGCTACAGACTTCTCTGAACCATGCCCCCCTTGCCACACATAATGTTGAAATACTAAAATTACAACCAAAATAAAAATAATTGAAAGTTATTTATGAATATTAAAAAACGAATAAAAATAAAACTAAACTAAAATGATTAGTAATACAAAAACAACAACGTATAGCACAGTCACTCTTGCCTTATAGCTTAAATATTAAAATAATCGTTCTAAAATCTGATTGGACTGGCTGTATTAAAGTGCAACCATAAACAGTGTACATTTAGGCTAATAATTCTTGGCATAAAAAGTTTATTGTTATTAATAAATTCAACTGTTGAACATTGGTGTCGTTTATCATTGGGCTTTTGCCACCACCAAAGTATTAGCCCCCAATTTTTTCCACTGTCAATGGGACCCCTTTTCTGTGGTACTCAATGACTGTAAAGATGAAGCACAACCCCTTGTGACGTATTGCTTTATGTTGCAACGGCCTGAAATGCAGTTCATCCAATCAGATTTTAGAGCTGCAATGGTTTTATAATACTAAATTTTCTAACCCAAATTAGGGTTGATGCATTATGTTTAATGAATATTATAGATCCCTGAAGGTTGTACAGTTTCATATACATGCACCCCTCTATCCGTCCACCTCACTGTGACAGTCACCAGAGCCGGCTAGTCACTCAGTCTGCTCAGGTAGATGCACAGCACAGCCTGACATAGACGGAATGAGCTGTCACAGCTGACTAATGCCCATAAAGACTCTCTGGAGAGACGAATGGATAACTCACTGCAGATCTGCGTGTGTATGTGTGTTTTTCCTGGAGACAGCCGTAACATCATTCCATGTATCGAAGGCAGTGATGGATAAGCCTGGCTTGTTTTTGTATTTTCCATGTCAAAGAA